GGACGGTGGTGCAATGGAAAACATGTTCACAGCCTCCTGCCTGGCTTGAAAGGGGCCTTTTAAAACACAACATTTTCTCCGTCCATTCCCCTTCCCCTTCGTCAATAATTGACACATTCCCGCTCGTACCCTTTCACACCCGACTCCACCTCCCGCACCTACCTCAGGAAAAAAAAACCACAAAGAGACTGGCAAAAGGAAAGAACTGAGACACACACTCTCCTGAAAGAGACGCTGCCCCTTTTGCTGCCTCAGGACAAAAGGCTTACTGCAACGCTCCTTTCTGCACAGACACAAACCCTGTGATGTGGGTGCAAACGGGTGGGGATGGAAAAAAGAGAAAGATGGGAGAGGAAGTGCAGCAGCAGCCACCGCCGCCTGGAGAATGCGGGCATTGATCCCGCTACCTCTCGCATGCTAAGCGAGCGCTCTACCGTTTGAGCTAATTCCCCACACTCTCACAAGGAGACCCCGCCCCCTCCGCCACGCACTGTCAACTCAGCGTACACCCCATCTAGGGATCTCTTCACACCGCAAAACAAACTACCTTTATGCTTGCACGCCACCTTGGAAAGGACCTCCACCCAACAAGGACACGTGATATAGCAAAGCACGCTGCTCCCCTTTCTTGCCTTTCAACAAAATAGACCTTTCCAGAGACCATCGGAGAAACTCACACATGCCCAGGCCTTGCCCTCCCACACATACCGAACGCCTCTGTTCATGACAAGAAGAGCAAAAACTGCAAAGTAAAGGCGACGAGTTGCCTCCCTGGCCGCCTATTCGCTGCACAGGCCAAGGACAGCAAAGCATCAGATTACCTACGGATAGCCCGGCAGCTCCTTGCCAGAAATTCCACCAGATTGGGCTTCTAGCAATTCTCTGCCAGAAGCCTTTGCAATCGCGGTTGCCCAAAGACATCCCAGCTCGACAAATGTCATGGACAAAAGCCCAAAACGGAAAGAAATGGGACCGCTCCCTCGCACTACTCTACAAACTGAGCTCTATGACGCCGAGGAAAGATGGACAAAGAGAGAGCAAACCACTGAAAGGCACACATTGCTACAACGTTGAGCATAATAGCCCGCCGTCCGCAGCGCACACAATAGGTTGAGCCTGAAGGACAAGGGACTCTCAGCGACTAAAGGGCCTTTCCTTTTCCCCCTACGTTCCTCTCCTCCCCGCCACCAGAAACCACGTTTCTGCGGCACCTCTGCCCCAGGCAAAACACCCCGAAGACAGCTTGGGGACACAGCTACAGCCGGTCTATTTTATGACAAAGGCGCCCCGCTACCAGGGTGATAAATGGCACTTCTGAAGCCTGGGATCCATAGCTAGATGTCTACGTTGTGAGTGCGGGAGGGCGAAGAAAAAGGAACTCAGCCTATAAAGGCGTAAACTGTGGCCTAGGTACTTGGAAGCAGGTGTGGTAGGTGAAAGAAGTGGCAAGTGGTGCTTTAAATGCAGCCGACCTCCAGAGGCCAGTCTCGCACGAATGCAGTAAAACGTGGCAGTGGCCAGAGCGGGAGCTCTAAAGAAGAGCGTGGAACCAAAAGCTCACTCCTTCGAGCCGGAGTCGAACCAGCGACCTAAGGATTCCCAGGGGTATTAAGCCTACAGTCCTCCGCTCTACCAGCTGAGCTATCGAAGGAAGACAGGTGCATAGGGCCCCGAGTGACTCAAGGTGTCAGGCAGAAGTGCCACTGGCACTAACTGATAATTATAGGCTTGCCTCTGCCCAGCCCTTGAAAAGAATAAGCGACACACACCTATCCCTTCATCCTCCCGGCTGCCAGGTCGCCGCCTACTCTACCCTCAATTCACCCAACGGCAAGGCCGCACACACATAGCGCTCAAAGGCTCCCTAACAGGCATGGCACGAAGACAATGCCGCAAGGTAAGAACGGAACGCCAGGGGGCGCAACGCTAGCATCCTACCACAGGGGACCTGGGAGCGTCTCAAGCACGCGCAGCACAATGTTGGGACCCCAGCCCTGATTCCCACCCAGAACAGGGACGGTGGTGCAATGGAAAACATGTTCACAGCCTCCTGCCTGGCTTGAAAGGGGCCTTTTAAAACACAACATTTTCTCCGTCCATTCCCCTTCCCCTTCGTCAATAATTGACACATTCCCGCTCGTACCCTTTCACACCCGACTCCACCTCCCGCGCCTACCTCAGGGAAAAAAAAACACAAAGAGACTGGCAAAAGGAAAGAACTGAGACACACACTCTCCTGAAAGAGACGCTGCCCCTTTTGCTGCCTCAGGACAAAAGGCTTACTGCAACGCTCCTTTCTGCACTGACACAAACCCTGTGATGTGGGTGCAAACGGGTGGGGATGGAAAAAAGAGAAAGATGGGAGAGGAAGTGCAGCAGCAGCCACCGCCGCCTGGAGAATGCGGGCATTGATCCCGCTACCTCTCGCATGCTAAGCGAGCGCTCTACCGTTTGAGCTAATTCCCCACACTCTCACAAGGAGACCCCGCCCCCTCCGCCACGCACTGTCAACTCAGCGTACACCCCATCTAGGGATCTCTTCACACCGCAAAACAAACTACCTTTATGCTTGCACGCCACCTTGGAAAGGACCTCCACCCAACAAGGACACGTGATATAGCAAAGCACGCTGCTCCCCTTTCTTGCCTTTCAACAAAATAGACCTTTCCAGAGACCATCGGAGAAACTCACACATGCCCAGGCCTTGCCCTCCCACACATACCGAACGCCTCTGTTCATGACAAGAAGAGCAAAAACTGCAAAGTAAAGGCGACGAGTTGCCTCCCTGCGCGCCTATTTGCCGCACAGGCCAAGGACAGCAAAGCTTCAGATTACCTACGGTTAGCCCGGCAGCTGCTTGCCAGAAATTAGTAGAATTACAGTTAGTTAGATAATTAGTGAAAGGATCATTTAACTCCTCTCGTTACCAGTGGGGATAGTTATGTTTTTTCTTGTCAGGGCATGCCTGTCTTGCCAGGTTTCAAATGTTGCCTCTCCTGCCAAGAGGCCTTACCTGTAAGCGACGGCATTCTAAGTGTGTCCATTGCTTGGAAGAGTTCTTGTTTTCCAGATGTGCAACTTCTGCCGGGCTCTCTGATAGTGTAATAATTCTTCTCCTCCATTTTGTGCCCCTTTGTCTCTCTGGAACCTGCATGAGTCATTTTACCAGAGAAAGACTGCACGACATTTACCCTTGGATGTTGTAAGGCACATGACCAGAGCTGAGAGTAAAATGAGGTCTGGCCATGAAGTATCTCTGGCTGAGCATGCCCAATAGTAAAAATTATATAAAATGAGGTATTGTCACGAAGAAAATGTCCTGGAGCATGAGTAGTAAGGTCAGATGAGGTAATCTTGGTTCTAAAGCAAAAAACAGTTCAAGCAAGCATGTGCAGAATGAGATAATGTATGACAATGAGCATGTGCAGTACAAAAAGTAAAAGGGTGACAGAAAAGTTCAAACAGCCTCAGCCTTAACTGGCTTTGGCCAGCTCAGGGCTGTTTCCATTGGTTACCAAAATGAGGTAATATTTGGTAGTGAGTATTGTCAGTAGGAAAGGTGAAAGGTTAGCTAAGTAGATGAATCAAGCTTGCTCAATAGAGGTCTGATGGCCAATTGAACAGTGTATAAATTAGTAAGTTATACTCCTGGGGGAATTTTCCACCACCGTGCGCACGCCTAATTTATGTGCAGCGCAAATTTTTTTTTTTCCACAGAAAATAACTTATGCTGGAAAGTGCTGAAGTTCTGCCTTTTGCCCACTGTGGAGGGTGCTGTGGTGCTAGAGCAGGGCAGCTGCTCCCAGCCATCCCCAGCTACCATAGGAAAGAGAAAGAGCTTGCAGCACCGCCTTCACAGTGCCTGTTGGCCAGGTCATGACACAGATAGTATGGGGCACATGGGGCTGCTGGGAATCACAGACAGGGGTTCATAAGCGCTCGTGGGGGAGGACAGACTGGAGCAAGGGTTGAATTGGAGTGGACGTGCAGGGCCACAGGGGGGAAGAGTCTGATTGGGGGGCACAGAGACACATGGGGACAGGGGGAGGCAGTGTCTGAGTGAGGGTGGAGGGACACATGTGGACGGGGGGTGCAAGGACACATGAGGACAAGGGCAGATATGCTTTACTGAATTGCAGAGGCTAGGGGTCAGCCACAGTCTGCATGGGGGAAGCTCCCTGATAGCAGTGCCAGATTAACGCATAAACTAACTAAGCTACGGTTTAGGGCAGGGGAGGGCAAACTATGGCCCAACCCTCTTTCAATCTGGCCCATGGGATTGCCAGCCCGGTGGTGCAGCGGTGCTAAGGCAGGCTCCCTGGCTGCCCTGGCCCCACACTGCTCCCGGAAGCGGCTGGCACCGCATCCCTGCGGCCCATGGCGGTGGGGGCAGAGGGCTCCATGCACTGCCCTTGCCTGTAGGCACCGCCCCCTCCAGCTCCCATTGGCTGGGAACGGGGAACCACGGGCAATGGGAGCTTTGGGGGTGGTACACACAGGCCTGCCCCACCCCAGTCCCAGGAGCCACTGCCGGACATGCCTGCCTTAGACCTGCTGCATGCCACTACCACCCTGGAACCGCTCGAGGTATGCAGCACTGGGCTAGAGCCCGCACTCTGAACCCCTCCTGCACCCAGCACCCCAGCCCGCTGCCCTGAGCCCCCTAACCCCCTGCCTTGAACCCCCTGCCACACCCCAACCCTCTGCCTAGCCCCCTCCTGCACCCCAACCCCTTGCCCTGAGCCCCCTCCCACACTCCGCACCACTTCTGCACCCCAACCCCATGCCCTGAGCCCCCTTCCACACCCTGCACCTCTTCTGCACCCCAACCCCTTGCCCTGAGCCCCTTCTTACACACCGCACCCCCTCCCAAACCCCGCACTCCCTCCTGCACCCCAAGCCCCTGCCCCAGCCCTACATTCATGGCCCTGCATACAATTTCCCCACCCAGATGTGGCTCTCAGGCCAAAAAGTTTGCCCACCCTGGCTTAGGGCCTCACAATATGAGGGGTCTCTAAAAAAGAAAAAACTGACTCCATTTCAGATTTTATCAAAATCAGTTGATAAATAAAGGAAATATGGGAAAAAGAAGATTCTCTCTAAATTACAGACATTTTTGTTGAAATATGACAAAAATATACACATCTGGCTGCACAAATACCCTTACCCTTCACTAATTCTTCATTATTGACAGGTGGGAAGCCAGAGCTGAGAAAAAACGATAATTGCACTTGTAAAAATAGTATTTCTATGAGTAAGTCTGCTATCAGTTTCCTAAGCAGCGTTTTGTTGGCCAGCTGCTACTGGTAAAATTCTGACCATGCCTTCATAACTTATTTAAATAAATAAATAATCTCACAGCTGATAAAACTGGGAAAAATGTGAGGTCCGAGATGGCAGTGTCATTAAGCAATCCTGCCAAGCTCATACTCCTAGGGACTCGTCCTGGGAGTGACGTCATGTATCATTTTCTTAGGTGTTAGTGTGTTCTTTTTTCTTTTGAGCTGTACATATGTACAATTGTGTATTTTAGTGGGCACGCCACTTTCTGCTTCATGCGCTATCCATGCTTCACATGACTGAGTTTGCAGGTGATCGTTCTAGGGACTTGCGTCAAGTGGATCTTGAGGAGAATAAATTTGTGTTGGCTTCCCTCCCTGAGTTTCGGGAACCTTCACAATAAATATCAGAGAGTGCTGACAAAAGGATAAATAGAGGGTTTTGAGAGAAGTGAAGGAAGATATACATATATATCAAAATATTCTGAGTACTTTTTGAGCAAGTTATTTTAAACTATGTGCATATATGATTTATAGGCTATTAAATATTCATTATATTTGCTTGAATGTAGGCTAGTTTTTCTCACTTTCTCAATGGCTGTCTAGAGATTACCAGTCTCTTTTCTTGTAAATTTCTTCTTTCTCTGTTGCGCATATAGCTTGTTGTCACTCTGTGTGTCCGAGGTCTTTACTCGAGATTAATTAGTGGTCCTGTGGGAGGACAGAGGATAGAAAAGCAAACGCGAAGAGAGATGTCTGCCTAGAAAAAAGACTGGGATTTTCTGCTTGGCAGGTTTGGAGTACGCAAGATAATATTTTTTATAGGTAGTATGCTATGTAAAAATTCTTATATAGACTTATAAATCACATATCATATACATAATACATTGTATTTTTATAGTATGGCAAAAGAAAAATCTGAACAATTAATTGTTTCATAGTGAAAATTAAATCAGAATAAACATTTGTAAATATATTTTATATATAATCTGGATAAACTTTGTCTTTCCCTAACAAAATTAATCAAACAATTTTTCATTTATTCATATGAAAAGAAAGATAATTTTACTAATTCATGGTGTAAAAAAAATTATATATCCTCTCTTGTTTTCCTGTGAGAACATAGATAAAATAGCACTAACTTTCACAGAAATATCCTTGTAAAATAACACAGGTTTTCGGCATACATATATTAATAAAATATTATTTGTTGTTGTGTGTATATATATATATATATATATATAAAATTTCAATATTTATAATATAATATTTTTTTACTGGTTTTTTAAAGTGATTTTGTGGCTTTTTTTTTAATCTAATGGTAACAAACTGCTCAGGAGAAAGGTCATTTTCACAACTGAAATATATCAAGAATGAACTGCAGACAACAATGCTGCAAGAAAAGCTATTTGCCCTAAGCATTTTGTGTGTTGAAAGTGACAAACTCCATAGCTTATCGTTTGAAGACATCATCAATGTCTTTGCTCTCCAAAAATCACAAAAGAAAATATTTTAAATTTCAGTGTTAAAATTAATGTGATGTGCCAACAGACATACTGCAGGTTGTACTGCTTCCATGAAGTAAGCTGGTCTGTTTAACTGTAACTGCTTTTGTGTTGCTGTAGATATAAAGTTTTCATATCTACTAATTAAGAAATCATAGATGAAAATATGTTAATTTGAAACTATTTTACAAACAGGCATATTGCAAGACGTGTTTTAGTTAGATTATTATTCTATTTGTACAACTTTACTTTGTATATGTGCAAATATAAAGCTTTCGTGTTTATATATTCAATATCCTTTCTGTGAAAATAATTCTTTTTTTTATGGTATGGGGCCTCTTACACTTGACATAGTTTAGGGCCTCAGAATGTCATAATCTGGTCCTGGACTCCCTAACGATCCCTGCGCCCACAAAAAAACCTGTTCTATACTTTTCCCACCCACACCCAACAACCCTCCAAGTTCACACCCAGGCTCCTTCCCAGCAATTACTTCCCTCTCCCTCAGCTCCTCCATTACCTCTGACTCCCCCAAGTCTTTGCACTGCTTCTGAGGGGTGCAGGAAATATGGTTCTGTATTGTAGTTTAAATGAATTATTACTCAGAGTTCTGTATTAATATGCATAGTAAGGAATCTATTTGTCAAAAAACATTTTCTGAATCTTTTTTGTTGTCTGTATTGTTACAGACATACTTGCTGACAGGTATTTTGAAATAAATTACCAAAATAATTGAAGCTAGTGTAATTATATTGTGTTATTTTGACAAATAAAATATGCAGAATTTTGCAGAATTTTTAATTTTTTTGGTGCAGAATCCCCCCAGGAGTTCAATAAGGCAATTGAATGAGACAGTTGCGAGAGATATCGGAAAGCTGCCCAAGAGGACAGAAGACTTGCTGGACGGAATAACTCCCAAACGTCGTTTCTCACTCTGGAAGAGAAAACACCAGCTTAGAATTCTGAAAAGAATACTGCTGAGGAGAGAGAGGGAGTCGGGAGCAGCAACAGCTGCAAGCACCGGCAACTTTCACATCTACAAATAATCAGCAGAGGAAGTAAGTTATTTTATAACATACAGTGTAGCATAGTTTTAGTATAGTATTAGGCCCTGTATATGCTTGAAGTGTGTGTGTATGTCTCATTGTAATTTATCTATGTTAAACTTAAAAGTATAAGATAAGAACTGCTGTCAGCACAGACCGGCTACAGCACAGCCTGTAGCAAAGCACACTGCTTAGAATCATTTAAACGGTATGCTATTGCAGTTTAGATGCTCTTTAACTCACAATTAGGGATTTGTGTCTGATTGTTTCTTTTAGATTATAGTGTAATAGGGATTATTAGTTACATTAATAAAAAGATACTTTATTAAGGAAAATAATACTGCCTGTGTCAATAATTTTATTGGAAGGTTATATCTGTGTCCTTTTAATGTTTCCTTAACAATCTCAGAAACCTCAGAAGGACAGACTGAGGGGGGTGATAGGTAGATTATTTGATGTAAGCCCCAAAATCTATTTCTCGGGGTAACACCTCAAATCCAGGGCAAAGAATAGCAGTCTGAGTTTAATCTCTCTGTTTATGATGGAATGCTCCCTTCGGCCAGCTTCTGAGTCTGGCGAGGAGTCACCCTGCACATCTGTCACTGGACAGATCCAGCGTCTCAGTGCAGGCTTCCCTTAAGAAACATAAGACTTTGGAGGCTTCAGTAAAGGTTTCCTAAAAGGGTGGCATAGATTCTCACCTTAAGGTGCCAGTTTTAAAAAAGTCCAGGTCCCTGGTGAGATCTATGGTCTCCAAAGCCTCAACCTCTCAATTCGGTACTGTTGACTTGAAGGATTCCTCCTGCAGTACCAGCGAGGCCATAAAATCCTAGAGCACAAAGGAGAGACATGGGTCTGATAGGGCCTCAGTACTTTCTACCAGGAAGGAAGGAAAGCACAGACACTTGAGACTGGCATCATCGAGTTCAGCCCAGCTGTTGGTACCCAGGCATACAGCACTTTCGGCACCAAGCAAGCAATGGCGCTGGACACCACCAGCCTCTACTTCGGTATGCCCCCGCTCCATAGGCAGTGGCCTTGGCTTCTGCATCAGTACCAATCCCCTATTTGGTACCACAGGAGTTCAGATATACTAAGCAACTCTTGATAACAGATGAACCAGAATCCCCATTCCTCACAGGTACTGAGCACCTCTTGGTACTGAGACCCCAATCGCCGGACTACCCTTACCTGCTTCATCTATGTGTCCAACCATCATCCAAGCTCCTGACCATTATCTCTTGTCACAAGACACAAGTCATGCATTTTATCCAAACCTACCAGTCCTCTGCCTCACGGCATGCAGAAATGGAAGAAATTCTTCCATTGGTGGTGTCATTGCTGCCTCCTGCTTGACTTGGTGCCACTTTCAGACATCCTGGATTATCTGTTGGATCTGAACTGATTGGTGACCCCAGTTTCTTTAGTTAAGGTCCATTTGGCTGCAATATCAGTCTTTCATCATCCTGTAGAAAGATTCTCCATATTTGCTCATCTCTTATATTCTAGGTTTATTAAGGGTTTGGGGAATCTCTGTCTGCAGATTACAAACCCCACCCTGACCTGGGACCTCAACCTTGTATTCAGTTACTTTATGAGACCTCCATTTGAACCAAAGGCAATCTGTTTCTCTGTTTCATTTATCTATGAAGATGGCCTTTTTAGCAGTTATCACATTGGTCCAGAGGGTCAGGGAGATTAGAGCTTTGATGGCAGATTCCCCCCATTTACAGTGTTCTTTAGGGACAAGTTTCTTTAGGTCCACTCCTTAAATTCTTACCTAAGGTTCTATTAGAGTTCTACCTTAATCAATCCAATCATCTAAAAGTGTTTTTCCCAAAGTCACATAGTTCTCTACAGGAATCCTGTTTACATACCTTGGATGTTAGAAGGGCACTGGCGTTCTATTTAGATAGGACCAAGCAATTTAGGAAGTCACTTAGCCTCTTTGTTTCCTTTGTGGATAGATCCACAAGATACTTGATCTCTAATCAGAGACTATTGAGATGGATATCTAGATGTATTATCACTTGCTATGATGTTGCGGGCATTCATCCCCTCCCCTTGACCCCCAAAGGGAGACAGCACATTCAACCAGATTGCAGGCAACATCTACCGCACTACTGAAGAATGTACCAGTATCTGAAGTACGTAGGGCTGCTATATGGGCTTCAATACATATGTTTGTGAAACATTAGGCCCTGATCCATGGTGTCAGATCCAGTGCAGCACTTTGGTTCTGCAATACTGTCTTTACTTCTGGACTCTATTCTGAAGCTTCCTCTTGCATCTGGGGATACTGCTCAGAAGTCACCTGAAGTGGAGAATGCATAGGGAAGATGAGGTTACTCACTTTATGCATTGACTGCAGTTCTTTGAGATGTGCATACCTATTTGGTGCCCCACTACCTCGCCACCTTCCCCCTGCTTTGGACTGTTCCTTAGGGAATGTTTGGTTGGAGAAGAAACTGGGGCGGGGGGGGGGTTTGCCTGCACACCCCTATATAGTCTCAGTGTCTGGCACAAGGAGGCATAGGGCACATGAGCAGGCCAAACAGACACTGCTAACTGACAATCTCTGATCAAGGGCTTGACAGGCACACGTGCATCTGAAGTGGAGCACCCACAGAGACAAACATCTTGAAGGACTGCAGTTACAGACGCTCCCAGGGTTACACAAGACCCGACTTACGCAAATCCGCATTTATGGAAAAAGTTCTGTAAGCTAGAAATAGGAGGGCTTTTTTTTGTTTGTTTTTTTGCGTAATGGTCGGGTATATGTTTCCGACTTACACAAAATTCAAGTTACGCAAGGCATTCCGGAACGGAATGATTGCGTGAATCGGGGAGCGTCTGTACCGCACAAAATGAGTAATCCCTTATTGAGGGGACACTTCCCCTGCCTTAAGGAGAAGGTACTCAATTTACACCTGTTCAAGGCATTTCCTAAAAAGCATAACAACATTGTTTGTAATTTAAAGTTACATAGTGTCTCCTCCTTGAGAATCCCAAAGTGCTTTTGTGACTGGGGTCCTAATGGGGAGCCAGCTGTGGTCACTCAATTAGGGTGAACTGCAAAGAACGGGGCAGCCAATCCCAAAAAAAATGGTCAATATTACAATACTTAGATTAACCAAGCCACCACGAAAGAGCTTCTTTATTACCTTACTGGTTACTCAGAAGTCCAGACAACACAGTTCTCTTAAAGTGATCCAGCCTCAGGCCTCTATCCAGGTACCCATGTCAAATAGGATGGAAATTTCTGTAAATCTTATTTCATCATATAAAAGAAAAGGTTCTACCAATCCCAAAGGCTCGGGCCATTTGCTTGTTCCTTCACCATTCACAGTACATTTCAAGAGATGAATACCGAGATATCCCCTGTTTACAATTCATTTAAATGCTAGGACAGGGTTTCTCAAACTGGGGGTCGTGACCCCTCAGAGGGTCACGACCCACTCAGAGGGTCGCAAGGTTATTACGTGTGGGGTTACAAGTTGTCAGCCTCTACCCCAAACCCCGCCTCTCCTCCAGCATTTATAATAGTGTTCAATATTTAAAAATGTGTTTTTAATTTCTCGGGGTGGGGGGGTCGCACTCAGAGCCTTGCTGTGTGAACGGGGTCATCAATACAAAAATTTCAGAACCACGGTGCTAGGATGTTCTTTTGATCTCTGAACTATCAGAATACAGTATAGACAGAAACTGTTGATTACATTGTGGGCCCTGCTCATACATATGTAAATACACAAAAACTCAAAACATTATCTCCACACATTTCTGGCCAATAGGAGTGCAGAGCCAGTGCTTGGGATGGGGGCAGTGCACAGAGTCCTGTGCCCCCCACCTAGGAGCCAGACCTGCTGGCCAATTCCGGGGTGCAGTGCCAGAGCCAGGACAGGCAAGGAGTAGCCTGCCTTAGTTCTGCAGCAAGGCTGACCAGACTTTTAATGGCCCGGTCGGCGGTGCGGGCCGGAGACCAGACACCTCGTCACCCCACAGCAGACACTATTTTGCTGCCTGGGAATGGTGCCTGACTGCCTGGGATGGGGGAGGGAGGGCTTTTCACCTAATTTAAGGACAGGGCCCTAGGATCCTGAACTTCTACCACAGTGTGCCTGCCAGAACGGGCTCCTGGTTTGTTTTTTCTTAATTTTATTTTGTAACTGTGTCACCGTTCCCAGCCTGCCCCCAGCGATGCGCTCGACATGCATGCGGCATAAGCCTGTGGCCTTAGTCCTGGGCCGGCTCAGGGGCCGCCACAGCCACCGTCAGGGCCGGGGGAGCAGCGGCCCGGAGGCCGCTGGTGGCAGCTCGCACAGCAGCTGACGTTCGGCGCCTTTTCCTGCCAGGGGCTGGGAGCCAGCGGCTCAACCAGCAGCCCTGGGAGGACGGGAAACGGGGCCAGTGCTCTGACCCCCGGAGGGTTTGCATGGTAAAGGCCCCAGTTCCCCGGGGAACCCCCCCAAATCTGACACGGAGGCGCAACCCCAGGCGCTCTCGCCTCCAGTGCGCATGCGCGCGAGTCCTCTTCTCTCCCTCCCTTCTGCCCCCTTACCCTCGGCGACAGTTGAGCCAGCGGGAGGCTCGACGCAGGACTGCAGCCCCTCCCACTCCTGCGGGCGGAGGAACCGTCCACCCGGCAGCCTCGGCGGCGGGCGTTCTGTCGCTCTAGCAACCGGCCCTGAACCGGACGGCTCGAGAACCCGCGCGTGGTTCCCTCACGCCCCGCACCAAGGCTGGCGCTGGTCGGCCGGCGGGGGGCGGTGCGTGTGGTGGGCGCGGGGCGACCGGTCACGAGCACAGGAGAGAGAGAGAGGGTGGGAGGGAAGGTGCTGCCGTCGCTGGGGGGATTAGGGGCGGCGGCGCTGGGCCGAAGTTGGGGGAGAGGGAGGCGCAGCCGTGGATGGAACAGATGGGTGGAGGTGGGCAGAGAGGTGCTGCCACCACACTGGGTTAGATGGGCCGGGAAGGCGGAGGGAAGTGATGGGTGGGGGGAAGGCAGAAGGGGGGTGGGGAAGGGAGCTGTGGGGAAGGCTGCACCCTGGCTCCATAGGGGCAGGAATTAGGGGTGTGGGGTGCTGCAGCATGCCCTGGCTTGAAGTGGTTTCCATTATATACCGGGTCTACTGTTTGATTCAATGGCTCTTAGCATCCCCACTATACAAATTGTTCCAGCACCCCTGGGTGGCTCCATGGCATATTAGGGCCTGATATGTACAGAGCAGTGATTCTCAAACTTTTGTACCGGTGACACAGCACAGCTTATAAATTAAAACACTTTTTTGTATATTTAACATTTATAAATGCTGGAGGCAAAGCGGGGCTTGGGGTGGAGGCTGACAACTCGCGACCCCCCCACATAATAACCTCACGACCCCTTGAGGGGTCCTGACCCCCAGTTTGAGAACCCCTGGTATAGAGTGTGGGTAGAAGCCTGTATCAGCAGGAAGCACTGAAGTCGCATCAGATGCTCTTCTTGCATTTCACCTGCTGCTTAGTTTCTCAGACTTCATTTCTTCTGTTTCAGAGGAACAGCCGTGTTAGTCTGTATTCGCAAAAAGAAAAGGAGTACTTGTGGCACCTTAGAGACTCAAATGTCTCTAAGGTGCCACAAGTACTCCATTTCTTCTGTGACACTTTTAGTATTGCTGACCTGAGCCGATCATCATATTGGCTTAAAAATAACAAGCTTTTTAAAACAATAAATGTGGAGTTGGTACTATGTGCCTTTGGGTGTGGCACCAAAAATTTTTAAGCTTTGATCCACAACCATGAGAGAGAGAAATGTGTGTGTTTTTTTTTTTTTAAAGAAAGCTTAAATTCTCATGTAGTCACATGAATCCAGGCGCTGGGATTTAAGAAGAACCACAAATTTCATGGGAGTTGATAACACTATGCTCTCCATGATTTGTCTCAGGTCACTGGTGAAATTCTGGGGGAAAGTTTAAGGAGAATCTGCTCAGCCCATTTTGAATTAAGTGAGTAGGAAAAAAGTATACTTTCTCCATTAAATAAAACTAAATAAAATTGTTTTGTACATGTACAACTGAAAGCTGCTGAACTTTAGACTTTGCATGTGGTCAATCCTCCCTAAGAATTTAGGCTGCAGTGGTCTTTTAATATTTTATTTTCATACTTATCAGTGTTGTAAGTGATAAAACTAGGTTTGGCACATTTTCAGTATTAATTTTTTACTCACTTTAAAGTTGCGTGCTCACAAACAGCACTACAGAGTTGTGTTAACTATTGTGCAACTCCAAATTGGTGCATCTATAGCAGCGGTTCTCAAACTGTGTTCAGGACCCCAAAATGGGGTCACCAGGGCCAGCATTTAGACTGAAGCTAAAGTCTGAGCTCAACCCCCACCTGGGGCAGTGAGGCTCAGGCTCCAGCTCCCTCTCCCACCACCCAGGGTGGCAGAGCTTGGGCTCCACCCCCTTCCTGGTCACGTAATAATTTTGTTTTCAGAAGGGGGTCGCAAAGCAATGAAGTTTGAGAACCCCTGATCATTAGGATAAGACCTGCCACCAACCCCAGTAATAGACAAATGTTAATTTAGAGTTACATTTTTGAACCCTTAAGGATATCAGATATAATTAAAGCTTCTTAGGTTTGGTGTAAATTGATTAACTGCTGATAAAAGTGTTTTTGAAGTTAAGGTTAAGAACTGTCAGTAATTAGTTATTTACCTAAAAGTGGCCAGGAATTATTTCTACTGCTCCAGATAGTAGTGCTGTTTCAGTATGAAATTGACTAGAAGTGGATGTTGCAAGCCTCCTAAACATACTGAAACAACAAACAAAATATTGTGATATAATCATTTATTGTTTGGAAAAACTCCAAAAACAAGAAAATGAAAACCAGGAGGGAAGCAGTTGATTATAAAAGAGGAGACTTCTGTTTATACATACATGCCTAGCAGTAAATGTGAGAGAAATTGCATGGGGAAAATTACATTAAACTTTAATGAGATTTTTGGTAAAATATGTTCCTTTAACTTTGCCAGAATTTCTGTATAAAAACACTGTAATCTTATGTGTTCATTTTATTTTAAAGGCACTTTAGAAAAGCCACTTACAAGAATATATGGAATTCTTAGGGATATCAAACCAGTTTTTGTGAAAATTTGGCTAATTACAGAATTATGGTTCGACTAACGGTGGATCTAATTGCTAAAAGCATCAATCACAAAAACCGCAAAGAAGAGTCCCTGGCACAGTATCTGAGAAAGATAACTCACCTGAACTTATCAGATAAAAATATTGATACAATTGTAAGAACTTTTCAATAAATCATGAAAATACTACTTTTATTTTTTAACTTAGTTTATAGCTTGGGTTTTAGGATGTTTTAGTGCTGTTTTTGATTATTTGTTAATTGTTGGGAGGACAGTGCTGATCCCTATATTATATTTTTAAACATTGTAATTGACCAAATTTTTTAAAAGGTCTATTTGGAAACACACATTTTAGCCATTTTTGTCATGCCACACCTTTGGCTCAATACCATTGGAGTCTGGGCCTTTTAGGGTTAGCCTGTGGCTTCCCTTTGCAAAATTATGGTCTCTCTTTCCTTCCTGTCCTGAAGGATCAAACCCTGATTTTTCTTTTAGCATGCATTGCTGAATTTTTAAAAATAGATACTCCGGGAGAGCCTGCATGTACTTGGCAGCACATAAGATTAATTTGGAATGTACAGATATTTGGAATATAAACACCTTATAGCTGTGATAGTACCAGTGGTTCTTTCATATATTCATACACTTCTGTGTTTTATAATTCCCACTGACTAACAAAATTGTTCTTCACCATTGGCCTTATTCTGTTTTCTTAAGGCAGGCAAAACTGTCATTGAAGTCAGTTGGGATTTTTACCTGCATGAAAGGGGGAGTATAACCTATGTATCCAGCATACAGGAAGTATGCATTGGGCACATCAGCTATGTTACCTAATTTTTTTTTTTTTAAAAGAAAGTAGTATATAAAAGCAATTGCGCTTTGAAGAAGAGAGATGCAGTCAATAGCTTTCTGCCTTTCAAATGTTAAACAATGTTTTGTAGTTTAAAAAAGGTTAAAGTTTAAAATCTCTTTTGTAACATTCCATAGAAGAGACAAATATATAGATATTCTTTTAAAAATGAAATTAGTTTGCTGTCTTTTAATTGAACTTGAGACATTTGCCACCTTATTAAGTTCATAAAAAATGTGAGCTGTAAAGTTTACACAGTGCACTGATGCTAATTAGGGACCTTTGGGCATTTCTGCAATGCAAATCATACCTAATAAAAATAATTAATTAAAGACCAAGAGAGAAAGGGGGAAACAGAAACTCTGCAGCTCAGATTTTTCATTATTTTAAAGAGGTAGTAATAGTCTCAAATGCTGCTAAAATACAGCACTAGTTTCATTTTTAAACAACTATTTTTTCTTCTCGGGAATCTTACGGAAGAGTTGTTCACTGGTTGCAAATTCTTTGCACTTGCCTATGATTTATTTCCTGCAATTTGGAGGAAGGTTGGGAAGGGGAAGGAGAGAAACAGGTTGGGATATAGGTCAAGTGAGGCTAATGAGTCTAACAAATTTGGACCAGTATGACAGTTGTCCAAAATTGCACAAGTTACAGCTTTCATTAGTGAATTAATTTGCTCTCTTTGGCCTAACCATTTTAAAAATAACGGTACTTAATTTTAAAAGAGTAAAACTTTGACTTCTATGCTGCTCCTTTTCAACTTGATGATAGGAGTTTTGCCATAGATTTCAGTGGGGCCTGGATTAGTTCTGATTTCCCTCAAGATACTGACTGTATTTTGAAATTACTAGACCCTGCGCAACTAAGCTCATACCAGGGATGGATTTCTTAAAAACAAAACATCAAACCCTGTTTTCAGCAGTAAAGGTTTTAGGCCCTGATCATGTAACTGGATCCATGTAGGCAAACCCCTGCACCCATACGGAGCCCCACTGAAGTTAAAAGAGCTAAGCCCAGGAGCAGGGGTCTGCCATGAAGATCCAGTTGCAGGAACAGGTCTTTAGATACCAAGGTGACAGATGTCTTAGGAATACTTTGATATAAATATGCTAGCAGAATTTTATGTATTTTTCAGGTTATTTTTAAGAATGTCTTTCAAGCAAGCGTCAGATTCTGGTGAAATCTTAAAAGAGGAAATATAGTAAAATACATTCAACCTTTTTATATTTTCTTCACCAAGAAACTGTTTTCCATTACACCAATGACATATTAAGGTAGCTTTTAGTTCATTTGAGGCAGCAATCCACTGAACAGATGTTTTCCTGAAATTTAATTGAAGAAGGCAGGAAAGACAATGAGATCATAAACTAAGTCATGTTCACAGCCTGGTGAGAGCCAGGATTCTCAGTTTCAGTACAGCAAAGCATTAAAGAGAAAAATCAGTCTTTGCCCCAGGAGACAGTTGCTTAATTATGTTTACTACAAATGGTGAATTAAAGTTAGTGTTTGTTCAGTGGTGAAAATCTACAGCTAGATCATACAGCAGAACTGAATCTAAGGCAAAAAATAATAAGCTCCAGAAGTTGATTGTAAGGGAGCTGAATATAATCATTTTATTCTTTCTTGCAGGATGACCTCTCTTTGTGCAGAAATCTTAATGTCCTGTATTTGTATGATAACCAAATTAGACAAATCCATAACTTGGGCTTTGCTTCAAATCTAACACACCTGTACCTGCAAAACAATCGCATTTCATGTATAGAGAACCTCACATCACTGAAAAAACTTGAGAAACTGTAAGTGAAAATTGTCTTTTATTTTGAAAAAATCAAAAATTATAATTGTATACTATGTATTAATAAGAAATTTAAGAACAAGTTAAGTATTGAAGTCCTTTCCCTATAAGTAAGCTAAATGTTGTCTTTCAAATGTGTGACAAAGTCAGACCTGACAGCTATAAGAAAGTGTTTTTTTGTTTATTTTTTTCAGTGGTTGCAGGGAAAGGCATGATAAAAGCCAGGGTGTGGCGTAGAGCGTTTGATGAGAATCAGATCTAGGGGGTAAAACCAAGCAAGGCCTACGTGCTTTAAGTTGTACCGCTACCTGAAAGTATTAAGTAAAGCATTTAACTTCTCTGGAAGCTGAATTGGGTCACTTAGACCAGCTAAAAGCTGAAGTTTGTGATTTATTTGTTAATATCAACGGATAGTTATTTAGTACCACCAAGAATGTGGTGGAAAGCAGGTATATCAATCCTAGAATGGTGAAGGCTTTTTACCCTATGTACTGAAACAAGGTTACCTCAGGTTAATTAGAGACACCTGAGTCCAATTAAGTGATGCTGGTGACCTTAAAAAAAACCCTCTTCTGGTGAGAGAGAGGGATGCTAAACAAGCTACAGCAGGGTTAGGGCTATCAGCAAGAAAAAGCTTCTTCTAGGTAGAAGGCTGCCCTTCTCCCTATAGGACAGGGGTAGTCACTTATTTTTTTGTCAAGGTCCAAATTTCTTGGTCAAGGTATAGTCAAGATCAGTGAAAATAACAACAATAATGATAAGTAAATAAAAATATTTTGGGGTCTGTTCAAAAGCATCTGGAGGTCCAGATTTGGCCTACGGTCCACCTACTGACTACCCCTGCTATAGGGGAAACAACCAAGTTTACTTCTGTTTGGGGAAGGGCTGGAAGCCAGATGCCAGCATAATCAGTCAACACCTTGGAGAAGGACAAGGAAATATATTTCTTTTGTGTCGTGAGTTTGTTTTTTGTGCTTAAGAGAACTACTTGTGCCTACCTTGAGACTCACCTTATAATCATTGGGGAAAAAAAAAAGTCCAAATCATTCAAAACCTCCAGAGTAGGACTGATTTACTTTAGGCCCCTTCTGCCAAAGGCAGAAACTTGGACTGATGAGGCAAAGGAGGAGCCTTGCCAGAAAGTATAAATACTCTTCATTGGCTATATAATATTTCCATTCAAGTGTTCTGTGACCACATAGACTGTGTAGTGATGGATATTATTTGAAATTTATCATTAGACTCACTCTGTTTGAAATATTGTCTTCTTTTCCAGAAGATTTAACAATAGTATTATTATCTATAGACTAATAGAATTGATAGACTAGACTTGCATCTATTAATCTATAAATAGTACAGTTGGATACAAGTATATTTACATAGGAGTTCCTCACTCAGTTGCAATTCCTTAACACATTAATTGCTACAGTTTAATAATGCCCATAAGGGATTAATTTCTATTTTGAGACTTGAGTGTGGATCTGCTTGATTTTGTTTTTCTTTTACCCTCAAACTGTGTTAAGTCCCATTTACATTGTTTTTTGCAGGTATCTGGGAGGCAATTTCATCACTGTAGTAGAGGGCTTGGAAACATTTGAAGAACTGAGAGAGCTACATGTTGAAAGCCAGCAGCTTCCTCTTGGAGAAAAGCTCTTGTTTGATCCAAGAACTCTTCATTCCCTGGCAGTAAGCATATATATAAATTTTCTGACAAGCAGTGATAATAGACCAGGGGTTGGCAACATTCAGCACACGGCCCATCAGGGTAATCTGCTGGCGGGCCGTGAGACATTTTGTTTACGTTGCCCGTCTGCAGACATGGCCCCACGCAGCTCCCAGTGGCCACGGTTCGCCGTTCCCAGCCAATGGGAGCTGCAGGAGACAGCATGGGCAGATTACCCTGATGGCCGCGTGCCGAAGGTTGCCAACCCCTGCAATAGACCTATGAAAGGAAGGTAGTATGGATGGCTCAATATTTTGTATATTGCCCACTTTTCCTTAGTTATAATGGCTCCATTCCACTGGGATCTGTAAAGGGTTAGGGTTTTTTTCTCTCCATGTAACTTAGAAAATAGCTAGGAAAAAACTGGAGTGCCACATTCCAGCAGAGTCTAGCAACCCGTTTGCTTGTTTATTTGTAGAATGTATTTATTTATTTGCCTGAAGCTGAAGGATATGCTTTCTGTATGTAGAAGAAATAAACAGTGAATAAGTTGAAAAGAGAGAAGGGATTTATCATAGAGAAGTCAATTACTCAATTCTTGAATCCAAAGCTTGCAAACTTTTTCAGAGCTGGCACTTACAGTTAATAACCCAGCAGCCAATGAATTTGGCAGCATTCTGGGGGAAATCCTTATGAAAGGATGAACAGTTTTTTCAGTCTATGAAACATAATCAGGTTTTTCTTCAACCATCTTTAGAGTGATGTCTTTTGTCCTTTTTGTACAAAGTTAATCATAATGTCTATTTTTGCTCTTCACATTTGTTTCCTCTTCCATCTGTTCTTGTTTCTCATGGCTGGAAACAAGGAAAGGGCCAGAAACATGAGACCAGTCATCTCTCCATGGATTACCAGCTATTGTTTTGACGACCAGCAACGGTCCATGGACCAGTGTTTGGGAAGTTTGGGGTTATTAATTGTGTGCACAGGAAGCATACAGGTAGAGCTAAAACTTCAGCCCTTTTCTGAAATGCAGAGCTTACTCTTCAGATCAGCTTCTAGAGGGATTTAGGTTTCTAGATTTATACTGCTGAAAGAAACAGCACTGCTGAAAGAATCAGTGGTCAACCAATAATTAGTCCCTTTTCTAGCCTAGATTTAAACATGCTCGTTCAATATGCCTTTTTCCAGTTCCTAAACACAAAAGTGCCTTTTTTTTCTTTGACATAAAAGTATACGATATTTTGCTAATTTGGATAAATGTTACCTAAACTACATTTATTTTGGGGATAGACCAGCGGGATCACCGTAGGTACTCCAAAAGAGTGTTCCATGATGGATTACCTCATGTTGTTTTCCAAAAAGTTGCACGTTACTAAAAGGCCCAGATCATGTTAATTCATTGTTGGACTTATCAAGTCATCAAGAGGGTAAGTTCCAAAAGAAAGGCTAAGTCAATAGGACTGTGCATATGAGAAAGGAGTACGCATATGAACAAGGTTTCTGAGATCAGGTCTGAAAGGAAGGCAGTATAATCTAGTGGTTAGAGCAAGGAATGTAGGGGTCAAGAGATATGGATTTTAATACCAGCTCTTCTGTAGACTTGGTGTGTGACCATGGGCAAGTCAATTAACTTCTTTGTCTCAGCTCTGCATCTGGAAATTACGCCTATTAATACTTATTGTGATGCTTTCGTGGTCCTCTGGTTTATGAGGCACCTCTCTACCACCAGCCCTTAGCACAAGGAAGCCCAAGGGCAACACAAGCACTCTCCTCTAGGCCTTGCAGGCCCCACTGTCACTCAGGTACAAATTGAGAGATTGTGAAATCTACAAGAGAAGAAAGCAACAGGAAGAAACAAATAGCAGGTGGTGCCCTATTTATGAATAAAGTTGAAGAATTGGTCTGGTATATCTTGGAGTGCAAAGAGCCACATGGAATCCTTCAGCTAGGAGGCAAACTGACAGCTTGCATGTGTCATTTGAAAAAAGGGTCACAGCCTGCTTAGCTGTAAAGCATTGCAAGAATTGGGGTGAGCAATACTTTATTACACGTGAGTATCTTGCTAATTAAGTTTAGGCTCTAGAATGCGTTATAATTTTATTTTATATGTAACCATTTGTTTCCAGTACTTCTACTTGAATATCTATGCTTTGTTAAATAAATGTACTCTTGATTCACTATAAATAAATCTAAGTGCTTTGAATTAAGCTGAGTGGTGATCTAAAGTGAAACTAGTAAGCTGTTTCTTTGGAAGTAGTAGATTGGTGAATACTGTGAGTGTCCGGGGGGCCAGGGTTGGACACTCCAGGGAGAGGCTCAGTGGGCTTGAGGGTTGGAGTGTCCCTATCACTAACCTGCAAAGTAACAGCGGGGCCTACAAGGCCTGGAGTGGAGTGCTGGTGTTGCTCATGGCTGATGGAGTTGGAGAACTGACCCCCATCGGGCACAGATGAGGCTTCCTCACGCTAAGGGAAGGTGGCAGCAAGTCACCTTACAATCCTGGGTACCCCCAGGAAGCATCACAGCATACAATACACAAATGACAAGACAGGGAAATAAGTGCCAGTTACCTTCTGCCTGAAAGGAACATCTCCAAGGTATGTCCTCCACTGGTGGCCTGCTTTAGATCCAAGACCTCAAGAACATGATTTTCAGTATAGATACATAGCTCCTTAATACTATCCACACATACATTTTGCAACGATTATAATGTCCAGGGGGCAACTGGCTTACAGTAAAGACCTCACATGCCACCCTTCAGTGAACTGTTATGCAGTATCTGACCCAGTGGATCCCTGTAAAGCCCTCTGCACCCCCTGTGCCCTCTGCCAGTTGGCACCAAGAATTCTTTGAGTCATACTTACCCACCTTTATAAAGCACTGTGAAACATTCAAATTAAAAATGCTATATAAATGCTAAGCATTATATTATGAAAACAGTAGAGATACAACATTGTTGCAGGTTGACTCATGACCAAAAATACATATCCTTGTAGGGACCCTCAAGCCCCTATACAGAGGACATGCACATCCAGCATCAAAGATTATGTGAAATATTAGATGATCCTGTGTAGTCTCATTTACACATTTTAGCCAGAGCTTACAAAATTCACAATGTGGCCCTGCTGACAGACTTTTCTCAAAGGAATTACTATTACACTTTTGCAATGTGAGAAAACTATGTTGTTGTTTTTTCTTTTTTTCTTCCAGAAATCTTTGTCAGTGTTGAATATCAGCAATAACAATATAGATGAACTGGGAGAATTAGCACTTCTGGAAAATATTTCCCATCTTATAGCAGTTGACAACCAGCTTCACCATGTGAAGGTATTAAAAAGAATATTTTCTAATATTTAGTGTGAGTGAAATCAAAATAATCAGACTGATCATTATTATTAAGGTATTTTAATAGCCAGTTGAACATTTGTTTCATTCTAATAATTTATTGTGCCCCCAGTTACGGAGCCTGATCCAAATCAGATTGAAGTAAATGGGAATCTTTCCACAGACCTCAATGGACTTTGAATCAGGCCCACAATGCAAAGGCCACATGGCCTCAGAATGTTGGATTTGGCTTGTTTTTAATTAACTTGTAAGTCAATTTTACCACATTAAAATTTTTAGTTCTCTGTCTTGGTATAACTGCCATAAATCCCCAAACGTTAGTCAGCATTTTTAGTGTAAATGGTGTTAAGGCAGTTCTTAGATATTTGATTGGCTGGCCAGTGTCTCAGCTCTGGCTCAAATGTGTAAATACAGACAGTAAATTGCAATTAGTCATCAGCAGTAACAATTACATACTATGTGTGCACATGCACCGCTCCCCCACCTTATTTTTATTTTCTTTCCCTTCCCAGGTATGTTTTAGTTGTTTTGTATGAATAATAATATTACACAATATGTACAGGATTGAATATTATAGATTTGGCTTGCAGTTCCTCTTTTTCTCTTTTCTCAGTTACTGAACCAGAAAGAACGCTAACAGTAGATTATTTATTTAGATGGGAATATATTCCTTTAAGAGAATTGGAATTGTTGCCTTTAGTATTTAGTTCAGTTTAAAAAAAACAACCCTCAATTTCAGAAGAAAACTAGCCTTTGCTGTAAATGTCTATGAATTAAGTAAAATATATTAAACCTATTCATGTCTGTGAAGGTTATACAAAACATTTAAGAAACAGGAAGGAAGGGTTAATAATCATGAAATTATTAACCCATTACATGCAAGGTTCCATTTTACATATTCACAGCTGGAGGGAGACTGTATGGTTAGGACCTGATCCAGCTACCATTGATTTTGATGTATTGTGGATCTGAGTGGTTTTCCCACCTATGCTCCAAACAAACAAGTCTCCAAACTCTAAATTGAGATGCTGTTTAAATTTGTCATCGTGAGTTCACATTCTTGCACATACAGAAAACAATGTATTCATTTCTCAAGTGCTGAACATACAGTTTAATAAGAATAGATCTCCAGCATGAAATTATATCTAGACTTTCATAGTTTCAGGGCAGATTACGTCAAAGTGCACTGTAGCACTTAACGCTAATCTTTCTTTTTAAAATATAAAAACCAAACTGTTTGTTGAAAGAGCAGTAGGCCTGAGACCTCTCACAGTCAGAAAAAACTGAGTTAGCTTCAAAGAAAATCTCTGAAGCTTTTGGCTCTGTTTTAAAGGCATCAGTTTAAAATCCATATACAGCAAGAGCACTTATACTTATAACAATTGCAGAGACTTAATTAGTCAGTCAGAAAGCGAAGTTTGGAATATATCTTTACTTGTTTTCTACAGCAGTGAATTTCATAGCTGATGTGGCTCATGTTATTCTGGAAACTATAGTTAAAAAGATGGCACCTGATGTAATAGTAAAATGAATAGTAGAGGGTTGCACATTTTATTCCTTCTGTAGGTTGAGTTATTTCTCTAGGCCAGTGACTCCTTGAATCCCTCCATTCCCGCAAGCTCCATATGTGCCACCCTCCCATTCCCCTCTTTTTCAGGGAACCTGCAACCTCCAACTCCATCTTTCATGTCAGGGGTTTCCCACATTTACCCCCACCATTATTATTTCTTTCCTTTCTGCCTGGGAGAACAATTTAAACTTTATTGGGAGGAAGGGCAGAGATGAGATGAGGGGTGTTATTGGCTGCCATCAAGCAGATAATTACAGACTTGATGAAGCTGATTGGTCTGCTAACCAGATGCCATGGGCTCTGTGTCCAACCCCCTCTCCCGCCACCTTCTCTCCCCACCGCCATTTTTCCATGTCCAGTTTCCGATTTTCACCAGACTCAATAAGGTTCTGCTCATTGATGCCTAAACCATTTATTAAAATTTTGGAATTGAGTGGATGCAGCATTCAAAAATTATTGCATTACAGACAAAGAGAAATGCCTGAAGTTGAGTGTAAGGCCTAACTTTGCCTGGCCAGTTATGGTTGAGACACTTATCACCAGGTTGTGATATTCAAAAATTGAAACACAAATTTTCCTTTCCAAGGCAAATTGATGTTTTCAAAATTATTTTAATCAATTCTAAAACAACTGTCAGATGTAAAGTCAGCTTTCTTATCCAAAGAGGAACAGTGTGTATATGTAACATCAGGGTGTTCACTATGTCACTAGAGATTTTCAGCAGATTAGAGTCCAAAGATTTCCTGCTTATAAAATCATCAAGGAACTCTCCAGTTATACAGAACTGCTCCGTTCATGGTCAGCATCATAGAATCATAGAATATCAGGGTTGGAAGGGGCCTCAGGAGGTCATCTAGTCCAACCCCCTGCTCAAAGCAGGACCAATCCCCAACTAAATCATCCCAGCCAGAGCTTTATCAAGCCTGACCTTAAAAACCTCTAAGAAAGGAGATTCTACCATCTCCCTAGGTAACCCATTCCGGTGCTTCACCACCCTCTTAGTGAAAAAGTTTTTCCTAATATCCAACCTAAACCTTCCCCACTGCAATTTGAGACCATTACTCCTTGTTCTGTCATCTGCTACCACTGAGAACAGTCTAGATTCATCCTCTTCGGAACCCCCTTTCAGGTAGTTGAAAGCAGCTATCAAATCCCCCCTCATTCTTCTCTTCTGCAGACTAAATAATCCCAGTTCCCTCAGCCTCTTTTCATAAGTCGTGTGCTCCAGCCCCCTAATCATTTTTGTTGTCCTCCGCTGGACTCTTTCCAATTTATCCACATCCTTCTTGAAGTGTGGGGCCCAAAACTGGACACAGTACTCCAGATGAGGCCTCACCAATGTCGAATAGAGGGGAACGATCACGTCCCTCGATCTGCTCGCTATGCCCCTACTTATACATCCCAAAATGCCATTGGCCTTCTTGGCAACAAGGGCACACTGCTGACTCATATCCAGCTTCTCGTCCACTCTCACCCTTAGGTCCTTTTCTGCAGAACTGCTGCTTAGCCACTCGGTCCCTAGTCTGTAGCAGTGCGTGGGAGTCTTCCGTCCTAAGTGCAGGACTCTGCACTTGTCCTTGTTGAACCTCATCAGATTTCTTTTGGCCCAATCCTCTAATTTGTCTAGGGCCCTCTGTATCCTATCACTACCCTCCAGCATATCTTCCACTCCTCCCAGTTTAGTGTCATCTGCAAACTTGCTGAGGGTGCAGTCCACGTGATCCTCCAGATCATTAATGAAGATATTGAACAAAACCGGCCCCAGGACTGACCCTTGGGGCACTCCGCTTGATACCGGCTGCCAGCTAGACATGGAGCCATTGATCACTACCCGTTGAGCCCGACAATCTAGCCAGCTTTCTATCCACCTTATCATCCATTCATCCAGCCCATACTTCTTTAACTTGCTGGTAAGAATACTGTGGGAGACGGTATCAAAAGCTTTGCTAAAGTCAAGGAATAACATGTCCACTGCTTTCTCCTCATCCACAGAGCCAGTTATCCCATCATAGAATGCAGTTAGGTTAGTCAGGCATGACTTGCCCTTGGTGAATCCATGCCAACTGTTCCTGACCACTTTCCTCTCCTCAAAGTGCTTCAAAATGGATTCCTTGAGGACCTGCTCCATGATTTTTCCAGGGACTGAGGTGAGGCTGACTGGCCTGTAGTTCCCCGGATCCTCCTTCTTCCCTTTCTAAAAGATGGGCACTACATTAGCCTTTTTCCAGTCATCCGGGACCTCCCCCAATCGCCATGAGTTTCCAAAGATAATGGCCAATGTCTCTGCAATCACATCCGCCATCTCCTTTAGCACCCTCAGATGCAGTGCATCCGGCCCCATAGACTTGTGCTCATCCAGCTTTTCTAAATAGTCCTCAACCACTTCTTTCTCCACAGAGGACTGGTCACCTCCTCCCCCATACTGTGCTGCCCAGTCGGGAGCTGACCTTGTTCATAGATTCATAGACTTTAAGGTCAGAAGGGACCATTATGATCATCTAGTCTGGCCTCTTGCACAAAGCAGGCCACAGAATCTCACCCACCCTCTCCTGCAATAAACCTCTCATCTATGACTGAGCTATTGAAGTCCTCAAATCATGGTTTAAAGACTTCAAGGTGCAGAGAATCCTCCAGCAAGTGACCCATGCTGCAGAGGAAGGCGAAAAACCCCCAGGGCCTCTTCCAATCTGCCCTGGAGGAAAATTCCTTCCCGACCCCAAATATGGCGATCAGCTGAACCCTGAGCATGTGGGCAAGATTCACCAGCCAGATACCCAGGAAACAATTCTCTGTAGTAACTCAGGTCCCATCCCATCACAGGCCATTGGGCCTATTTACCATGAATAGTCAACGATCAACTAATTGCCAAAATCATGTTATCCCATCATACCATCTCCTCCATAAACTTATCAAGCTTAATCTTGAAGCCAGATAGGTCTTTTTGTTCATGAAGACAGAGGCAAAAAAAGCATTGAGTACATTAGCTTTTTCCACATCCTCTGTCACTAGGTTGCCTCCCTCATTCAGTAAGAGGCCCACTCTTTCCCTGACCACCTTCTTGTTGCTAACATACTTGTAGAACCCCTTCTTATTACTCTTAACATGCCTTGCTAGTTGCAACTCCAATTGTGATTTGGCCTTCCTGATTTTGCTCCTGCATGCCTGAGCAATATTTTTATACTCCTCCCTGGTCATTTGTCCAAGCTTCCACTTCTTGTAAGCTTCTTTTTTGTATTTAAGATCTGCAAGGATTTCACTGTTAAGCCAAGCTGGTCGCCTGCCGTATTTACTGTTCTTTCTACACATCGGGATGGTTTGTTCCTGCAACCTCAATAAGGATTCTTTAAAATACAGCCAGCTCTCCTGGACTCTTTTCCCCCTCATGTTATTCTCCCATGGGATCCTGCCCATC